AATCACACCAGTTCGATAAAATGCCATCTCCATTACAAAGCGGCCAACTACCAAGAAAATATTAATCTACATCCTTGAGCGTTTCTGCGTTTTATAAAAATAATGATGGTGCTCGGTGGATGGCTTCCTTTCGGACGCCGTTTCATCGTAATAACTGTAGAATAAGAGGGCAGTAATTACTTTTCGTGAGACTGTCACGTTTGTCGGGTTCGCCCTCCGTGCACTCCGCGCGTACTTCGGTTATTACTAACAATGAATAGCAGTGACCGTGTTAACCCCTCTTATGACAATTCATGATACGCAGTGCTTTGTAGAAAATAACGTTTTGCGGTATATTCACTGTAATAATAATAATATTTATGCCATTATACGCCAAACCCTTTTTCAAATTACACTTATGCATTCTTAATAATTAAATTAAATTATATTTATTATTTATTAAAGAGTACAATTAAATTAAAATGAATAGTAATTATTAAGTTAAATTATATTGAATTAAATTTTAGATAGATCCTTCTGTCATCGTTGTACTGTCATCGTCAATATTATCGTATTTATCGCAAAATATTAATTCGGGTACCTATATTAAAAATTCTTGACTATGTAATAATTTATTTCGAGATTTTCGATATTTGCGACAATTATCATTTTGTAAAAAAACGTTTACCAAAAGATTACATTGTACTACCGAACGACAAAGGTGTCGGAGATCTCGATAGTCGTGAAACTGGTCGGCGTTAGGCAGTCTGGATATATCGAGGCGCGAGAGAAGGGTCTTCCTCAGGTTCTCCGGCTTCGATCCAGACGGGGACGACCTCTCCCTCGCCGGAGGAAGGAAGGAAGGACGGACGGAAAGAACCGAGCTAGAGAGGCCGGTGAGAAAGAGAGGAAGAGAGAGAGAGAGGAAGAGAGTAAGGGGAGTACACGCATGACCCTGAACCCAACCGCCGTGGCACCCAACCCCCGGTACAGGGGTGCGAAGCCTCGGGAGAGAGAGACGCAGGAGAGAGAACTCGAGATAGAACGGACGAAGCAAGGGCGGAAGAGAGGAGACTATGGCGGGTGAGGGGAGAGATATACCATATATACGAAGAAGAGAGAATAGAAAGAGAGAGAGAGAGAAAGATGGAGAGAAAGCTAGAGACTACGCCGTCGAGAGAGAGTACAGTTCCCGAGATCAATACTCCCGCGTCTTGCGATCATTCATCTTGCCACGCCCCTCTGCTCTCTCCACACATTTCCTGTCTTTCTCGTTCCCTTTCGTTCATCCCCTTTTCCCCGTCGCTCTCTTCCTCTCTTTCTCACTCTTTCTCTCTTCCTCCCTCCTTCTCATTCTCCCTTGCTCTGTCTGTCTCCTGTCTCCCCTTTTCTCACCCTCCGCGATCTTCATCCCTCTGGTAGCACCCCTCATAGTCGTGGTCGCCGTCATTTGGCGCCCAATCGTGGCGCCTAATACGAATGGAGCAAAGGGGAGAGAACTTTCCGAAGGTCGCAGGAGAGAGGGAAATCTAAAGAGAGAGAAAGCGTGATAACGCACAAGGTGGTGGCTCCGGTTTCCTACGCACTGACTATGCGCGGTTCATGGGAAAATGACGATTTCTTAGATTCGTACGTGAAATTAAAAAGTGTATTGATTATTCGTAGATGATTATATGCATTATTTGATACACGCAGTAATACTGTTTTCATTTTGCTATTATTATTTGGGTTTATTAAATTTAAAATATTCGAAATAAATATTTTAACATCAGTACATATACAAAAAAATCGATATGTATCAATATATGTTATGTGAGAAACATCAATTTGAAAATGTTTATAAAAGATTGATTTAAACCCAGAAAATAACAGATGATTTACATGAATGTAATCAAAATGTATATGTATATATATTATGAATGTAATTCTCTATAATTTTCTCATAAATATATTTATGACTGATATATTTTATAATTATGTATATTTTAGGATAATTATGATAGAGTAATTTTAAAGTTCTTTAATATTTTATAACATTTTATGTGGAACATTAAATATATATTGTGTGCGTATAATATAGAATAATTGTTTTTCTCAATCGGTGTGTGTGGTTTCTGAGAAAATCTATTTTGAATACGCACGTTTTGTTATGTATTGACACTTATGAATGTTTATTGATCATACATGTAAACCACTTGACAAAATTTGTTTACATGATATTTATTATGAAACCGAATATACTATTGTCAGTTTTCACTGATCTTTTAACATGGGCGTATGGCAAATACAAAAAATTAATAATAAACATAAAGAAGTTAAGAGCAAAAGCTGGATTGAAATTGGTAATATTTAATAATCTTTATGATAAGATACAACATACGTTTCGACAAACAATCAGGTCATTCTCAATGTTGATAAAGTAAATATTATAAACGGTTACATCCTAATACAAAAAGTTTCCTAAGATTGAATGTTACTTGTTAAACGAATAATTAAACAAATTTTATCTTCTATTAAAAAATATGCACTATACATTTTGAACTTAGATTTTAATTATATTATTAAGATGTTATAACTTAATGTAAAAATCTTGTTACTTCTCTATACATATCGATACGGTGAGAATTACAGTTTTGAGTTCGAGATTCAATTATACGAATTACATTCTGTTAGAAATACATTCAGATGTAGATAGAAACAATCGCCCGATTGTAATAACAGTCATCAATTTGATCGTCTTATGAATTCATACTTATCTCCAATAACTAACTTTAAATTGTCCATTACAAAAAAATAAGCTGCAGGAACATTTGCAAACAGATGATGATGGTAATAATCCAACTATTCTAATTATTGTAAAGAAATTAATTAAATCAATATATTGTTGTACAAATATCAATATATTGCGAAACAGAAATACTTTTATGTTTGAAATAATCCTTTTCAAAAAAACGACGTCTATATTTTGTATTTCTTATTTCTCTTTCTACAAGAAATCATTTCCGATTATATCACGATTTACTAGACATCTCATATATAGATTATTGACAGAAACAGATGCTTGTCTGACGAAAACAATAGTTCGTGGAATACAACGGAAATAAAGCCAAGAAATTTTCTGATTTATGTTACAATAAAAAAATGTTTTATGTTGATGACGTGTTGAACATGATTTAAATGAATTTTTGGAGTCAACTTCTACCTGTTTTGCTGAATATATATTGAAAAAATGAATAGATTAGAGAATGTATCACGTATAATGAAGAAAAAAATTTTGAAAAAGATACTCGTTTTAGACAGAAAAGCTGGTAGGATTCGTTTTGTGATAAAGGAAGTTCACCAATCAGATAAGTAAAAATATCAGATGATGAATCGATATATCGATTCTCTTTCCAGTATCTCGCGCTGAGTTTGCTTTCTTCTTGTATTTTTTTTCCATTTTCTTTCGATGACTTACCGAAGCAACTGGTGTTGTTCCATTTTGCTTTTTCCCTTTTTACTTTTGCCGTAATCATTTTAAGGATATCGTTCCTTCGTTTATAAAAGAAGAAAGCAGTTGCCTTAAATGAAAATAATCCATACAAAAATACAAGGAGCAATGTTAAGGAATAAATTATATGATTATTTAAAAAGTATTTAATTTGCACAAATTCTCAGAGATATTGAAATCTGTGTAATTTTTTAGTAAGTTTATTTTCTAACACTATAAATATGAAAACATATCCTTAATTTTTTGTTTCTTATGTATCATTTCTCTGTATTTATAATATCAAAATTATCCTTAAGTTATGATTATTTACAAGTATTTCATTAAAAGAGTAATTACAACAGATGATTGCATTTCTCTCTGTTTATTCTTAATATTAATTTCGTCTTGTATATAATTAAATTGTATTAATTTTATGACACGACATAAAAAAAATAGAAGTAAAGTTGAAAATAATTAAAATTATACTTAAAAAATAGATCTGTTAATTTAATTATTGTTCGTAAAAATCATTATGTGAGTAACTTTTGTCATTACCCTTAGAGAAATGTAGAATGTGTTGTCATGAAAATTTGGCATAAGTGCAAGAATTAATCTAATTCGAAACTCAAGTGTGATCGCACACACAGTAAACATGTGTTAACCAACTGTTTGTCCTACTTCATTGTCTTTCGTAACTTCGCTAAACAGATAATGCAGAATAAAAAAAAGAAGATCGATAGAACTCGATTCTAAGCGAGAGTGTTAAGGGCGGCGAGGAAAATCAAATAGTAGCATTGCAGGGTAGACGAGATAGAGAATAGCGAGGAAAAACGGAGATTTAAGTAAGGGCGAGGTCGTTCAAAGTCTCGAGGATGTCTGTGATATCTTCTCTTTTGAATCGTTTCCTTGCTGTTATCGCATCACCTGTCGCTGCCATCGTATTCGTTACATTCGCCGACCCTTCCGCCGCCGGTGGCTTCGTTCTTCATGGCGGATAAAAAGAAATCGAATTACGGGTGGAGGCGTACGATCTGTCTACGATCGATTTGGTCATTCTTCTAAGGTCAATGTGAACAATTTGTGTTAGCAACCGTTTTTCCGATAAATTATTTTACCGTGCGCGTGTCTCGACAAATTACCTTAAAATTTGTACGTTCATATTTATGGAAACAGTACAAACTTGCTGAAATTAGTTGAGAAAAACAAAAGCCAATTGCCACGTTTGCGATTGAATATTATTTGATCAAGAAATTATTTATAGCACAAATATGTTTGAGCTCGTTAAGATTGTGTATTTATTTTTATTTCCAAATTTAAATTTGCAAAGCAAAAAAATAATGACAATATTCATGACAATTTTAAGAACTTGATTTTATCATATTATAAAAAAAAAAGTTCTAATTTATTTATAATGAAAAATACTTAATAATCCGTCTCTTATATGAAAATTTGATATGTCACAGCTTTAAACGTCCCTTAAAAATTATTCTCAATGTATTTCGATATGTTTTATGACATGATTTTACTAATTTTGAATCTATCGAATTTGCAGCAATGGAAGCCGAGGATGACGAAGAGATCATTGACAGTGAGGGCTCCAGAATCATTTTTTCGTCAGGTATCAAGTGCGATGACGGCGGTGACGAAGGCGGAGGAGACGAACAGCTCCTTCAAATCAACCGGCTGCAACAACACGCCAGCTCGGAAAAGAGCTTCAATCGGTAAGTAGATCGTTTCGTTCTCTAAAAATCCATCATTTATGTTGTATGACTTTATTCCTCTTGCTTTGGCAAATCCTTCACGATATATACGGAATATGCAAAGTGTTGGCCGTATAACTACAAGCTAAATAAAAAATACGGAGCTTCCTCTCAGCGATCGTTCGCATGGAAAGACCGAGTGTACGACGATATACATCGTGCGAGAGATGTCGATCAATCCAAACGCATAGCGTAGATTACGTCGATGTGTCGCTATGCAAAAGCATTTATACCTTCTGCTTTGCCCGTTATTTCATTATTTTGCACTTCACCGTGATCCTCTATTCAGTCTCACGATGTATTGAATAATTTATTTACGCTCTCAATGCTACAGTGGTCCAGTAGTTCATTTTGATGACTGGAGATATATAAAAGAGTGTACATTATATTTACAGTGTAATTATAGTAAATACATAAGTTACACGAAATAGGTAAAACCTAAAACATGCACAACAATTCTATCACACCAGTTACAACACAGTAATACAACACAGTGTAATAATTATTGGATTATTTGAATAAGAGAGAGAGAGAGAGAGAGACTTATATAACACTTAATCATTATAGTATATATTTGCTCATAGGCAGTACCATATTATTGTCTTAAAATTTATTAGAGAGATTATTTAAACAGAAATTTTACTGATTAGAAAAAACAGTACACTGAGAGAAAGGATTTTATTAATTTAACAATCAGTACCTTTAACAAGTGATCGGTAAATATGTGACAACAAAATTGATTTGTTGTGATTGCTACTAGTCTGCTATACCAATCAATTATTAATAATAGAAGTAAACTATACAGAACCTAACCTATCTTTTGGATAGACTTTAGGATCGTTTATCATAGAAATCATAGATGATCGTGGGGTCTTAAGTAGGAAACTGACCAATCACAGTCAAATATAAGGAGAATACTTAACTAGAATTGGTCAATTTTTTACGATTTGAGACCCTACGACCGTCTACGACTTCTATGTATATATATGACTCTTTTATTTGCTAGCGATACTATTGATTATTTGTCACATTGACGAATGAGAAATAATTAATTTGCAATAGTAACTAATCGATTGTTTTCTTAACAAATATCACATTTGTTTTCCTTTGACTTCTTCCTATAACAAAATCATTTCTCTCAGTGTAGTTTCTTTCAAGCTAAATCGCTGTGTAGTTTATCTCATGAGATTATGCTTTGTAAGCTTATATTTTATATTCATCATGATTAAATTTAATAAAACAAAATACATATAACGATATATCTGTAGAAAGTTCTAACAAAATCGAACGTAGCGTTCTCGAAAATCATTCTATTTCTTTTCAAGTTTCTTTCTCGCAAATTGCCGAGTGAGTTTAACGAACTTTCTCCGTTGGGAACGCCGTGTTTTCTCCCAATTTCTTCAGATGCTTATTCTTACCCTTCCGCCCGACGGCTCATATCGGCGCAGACAGAATTCGCTTGAACGTATTACCTACGAGAAGAAGAAGAAGCTGCTATGCACGATTCGGACGTTGTGAGCACGGACTAGCCAAATATACACGGTGCGTCAGCGTCGCGGCGCGCGGCGTCGCGTCCTCCCTTCTCTGCGCCGTTTCAACTGCCGGGCGCCTCGTTTGAGGTCATCGTCATCCGGCCTCTTTCGCTCTCTTTTCCGTACGTGCGACCATCCCCGTCTTCCTTCTCTTTGCGGTATCCTTTATACCGTCCCTTCCCCTATCTGTCTTTCTCTCTTTCTCGCTCTCTTATTTTCATTTGTCTTCGTTCTCTCGTTCGGGGCATTCGGACGCGTCTCGGATGAGCGAACTTTGAAGCAAGTATACGTGGGTATACGTCTATGTTCGCAAACACAAAATCACCCAGGATGTTATCATTGCAAAATTCAGAAATCGATACAAAGATAGATGTAATTATCGAAATAAAAACGCTATTTCTTAAAAACTTTTATTTTATATTTTTAAATCATAAAATCACAGAAATTATTCTTTAACGACATTCTTTATACTTCGCACATTATATTTATAATCTCAATGGCGTAATTTTTTACAACGCTTTTATATTTTTTTTTAAATAATTGTAGAATAAGGAAAATGATTATTGTATTTGATGTTGTGAAAAATACAAAACGGGCAGACATTTTCATTGTAAAACTAATTGTCAGACTAAATAACGTTCAATGTGTTTTTTTTTTGCACATTTAACATTTCTTTAACCTTCAAGTATTGTATCAACTAGATTTATCGTAATGAAAATCTTTGTGACCTTATTAAAAATTCTCGGAATTATTACGCGCGTATGTAACTACAGGAAAAATATAAATCTTCTACGGTAGAAGAGTTTTCGATTCGCCTCGCGGTTAAGTGAACCTAGGCAAAAAGCGGAAATAGCGTGCTGCCCCATACGCCGGTGAAACCGCCGTTGTTTTTTCGCAAACTGTAGTCCATGCACGAGACCGTACCTACTAAGAATATTAGCATACGCGCGATCGAACATAATTGTGCCTTCCACGAAAAGATATATCAAACTTTCAAGAGAAACGTCCTGATCTTTGTTCGTATTGTCTCAGGTTTAACCCTCCTAACATTCACGAAAGGACATAAAAAGTTTATATGTGCTAGTGGTATCAATCGACGATAAAAAATTAATTTGTGAGGATTGTTATTTCAGTTAAATTATTATGTTGCAAGACCGACAATATACGGCACACGGTTTGAGATAAATACATTTAGCAATTTATATATAATTATTATTCCAACATCTACTTGACCGTATTTGGTTTAATGTACTTTCCAAAATCTTTGGAATGGACTCTAACTCTAATCTCATTCTTAGAAATTGATAATTAAGCGACTCTTCAACATTGACTCAATTGTCACTCTTTGTCACTCTTTAGAATTAGATTCTACTCCAAAGATTTTAGAGAGTAGTTATGTGGATGTATTCGTACATATCGGTTGTTTTCTTATTCTCAATATAAAAAATATATAAAAAAGTACAAATAAAAAATACATATTTGGATAGTTCTTTTTATATATGAACATATTTTAGATATATTATAATGCATCTACAAATCGATCAAATTGACGGTTCATCTTTAAGTCGATAGAAAAAAAGATATTTCTTGTGGAGCGTAGTTGCGTGTAATTTGCGCCGACTGCTCCAATACGTCGCAGCGTGTAATTAAAGGCGTGTTTCGTAACCGCTCACGCGTTCTTGGACGGTTTCCGATTACCCACGGTTAGGGATAACGTGCGTGTATTACACGCTCATAGGATTCCACGTGTAACCATGTAGTTTCTTCCGGTGTACCGGTGTATATGAGCCCAGAAGACGTCGAGTTAACGTAGAAACCAAGATATTCTCGGCGAGCGAAGAATATCACAGGCATGACTACGCTCACTCTTCTCTCATGGAACTCGTGGTATTAAATTAATTTTTCCACGTAAAAAATTAATACACGGTAAAAGCGCACGCGAGCTAATATTAAACCCCGTGGCGTATCTCTTTATCTTGAAAACATTTTCGCGCGAAGTCATAGCTTCCTGACACTTTGATCTTTATTCGGATCGCTTAACGTTAAACGTGACCGCTTGACTTTAATCCCGTGTTTACCGAATACCACATCAGATGACACGAATAAAATTCGTACGCAGTTAAATTTATCGCCAAACGAGCAACGTAAGACATAGATTCTTTGTTCTCGTCTGCCATTAACACGCTGCGCTGTTCGTTCAACCGAATTATTTGTTATGTCGGGACAACCTGGCGGCCCCTTTTCGAAGAAGCGATAATTGTAGATGGGCAAGTAGAATCGTCGTCGGCGATCGTTCTAGACGGACGCTAATACTTTCGACGTCGCGACGCAGTTCCGTGAAACGTGCATGGGAAATATTTCGGAATACCGAACGGGTTAGAGGGGGGCGACGGGTCGACACGACGGGTTTGTCCGGATGGTACACCGTGTGCGTACGACACCGACCGGCAGACGAAACAAAATACTGCTAAAATTAATCCGGGCCTTAGGTCATGTCTGCAAGGAGTCTAGACGACGACCACGACGACGCCGCTGAGGACGACGCGACTCGCCGCCGAAAGTGGACCGAAGCGTGTGGGCGCGATACTTTAACGAGTTCTGGTATTTCCACACATTTCCGACTTCCTGCTACACCCCCTCGCGTGCATCATCGTTCTGTCCCTTTTTTCCGCTATATTTACTACACTGTTTACTCCTCTCTTTCCTGGATTAGAATCTCTTGTCTAGAAAGTTTGTCTAGAAATATACGGGAATTTTCCTTTTCGTCGACGCGATCGAAAGGCTTTAATGAAATTTTATGATTTTATTATTGGTTTTATATATTATATATATATATATATATATACGTGGAGAGAGTATTATTTTTATATTAGAAATTTATATTAAGTACATATTTGTCGAGAAAACAAGAAATATGTAGTCGAATAAATTTAGTAGTGTTTTTTTTGGAATGAACAGATATTTCTGTAATTTTATTTTGATTGAATGTAGGAAGTTTAAGAGCGGAAAATAAAAGTTAAAAATATATTACTTTTTTGTATGCGGCGAACAAATATTGTTTTCACATTATTCACGCCGTCCTGCTTTCACTCTTTCTTTTTACTTCTTCTACACAGTAAAAAAATTTGTGTATTTGTGTTGGAAACGATCCACTCACGTTTGTGTTAACAGTTTGTGTTGAATTTTTTAACATATTCGAGTGTTAATTTAACATAATGTGATTGTTATTTAAAGATTTTTTGTGAAATTAATATTCAATGTTTCTTAGTATCAAAATGACACAATTTATAAGTAAGTGAACAAGTAACAAAAATAATGTGTTTTAAAACGTAAATCCTAAGACAAATGAATGAAATATGTGTTAATTCAACATATCATAAATGTTAATTTTCTGAAAAAAAAAAAAAAAATATATTCTCACAGTATGTT